AAATAAAATACCATGGAATTCCATGTAATTACAGGGTAATTACACCCTTTATCTGTATTGTACAATTTTAACTCCTAACTGCTGGTGCTTTTTGATGGTGCACCTCGAGGTGGTGCTGTGGACCGCAGTAGCTGAAAAACAAAATCTCTAGAAATTTATAATGAAGTATTTTTTTGGTAAGAACTGTTTATTAGCCTTAGCCATCTTTGCCTTCTGAAAATGTCTAAAAGCCTTACAGAGAAAGCCTTACACATAAATGGAGAAATGAGCAAATACATCCATGATGTCAATAAATCTGTAGTTGGTTAACAGCAAAACAGGAAGTTTAAACTGTGATGGATGTTTACAGCTTACAGTTTGGATTGTAGTGTTTATTTGGAAAAGAAACTTTGTGCCTGCGCACTGCATCCTGGGTCACTCGGGCTATAATTAAAGATCGTACAGTATGACTCATCTGAAGAGAGTTTAGATGTATTGAAAAAACACACATATACACAGCAGCTGTACAAACCTGCAGACCAGCCAAAACATATCCAGACAGATATACAAATACATTTATTAAAAGAATAATAATCAAGAGAAGGAGATGTTAATGCTTGTGTGAAGGCTTTAGAGACAGACAGTGAATATGGGCTCTGTCACTACTTCTGATTAATTTTTTCCCAATAAGTAAAACCTGAGAGTTTGACACACTTCTCCTATAAACAGCAGCAGCAGCACCATCAATCGTAGCTGCATGTCACAGTGAGAGCTGCTGTTTACTGGAGAAGAGCATCAGTGCAGTGAGAGTTGGGCTTCCTAATGCATGTTTGTGTATGGAGGCCGAGGCCTGCACACAATAAAATCATAATACATAATAATTGTGAATATGTGTGACACACAGTGATTAAATAGTAAACTTGAGTATGTACTTTCAAACTTGTATCCTTTTTTTCTTTAAATGGTTGAAGCATAAGCTTAATTTAGTAACAGAACAGTCACTAAACATCAAACCTTAAAAGAACTATATTTATGCTGTGGGGAAAAAAATCAATCGAAATAAATTCTTAATAGGAATTAAAATGATCAACATAAAAAATGCTGTTCAGAAGTTTAGTATTTTTAACTGGGAATGGGTCAGAGCACCTGAGCATGGTCGCAGCAAAGATGTATTTCACAAGCAAAGATGCAGCATCCACCAAAATATATCCACTTTTGTCTTCAGTTGTGTTGTGAAGAGTCAAATGTCAAATACACTTAAGTAACGCCATTCCCCCCAGAAGAAGAGGGGTTGCAGTAAGGTCAGAACAAAAGCAACTGATGTAGCGATGCCAGGACTTTTTATCCAGAGTGAGCAACAAAGGAAAGACTGAAAGAGAGATTATGAGTAGTTCAGATAACATGTCATGCCTTTCCTTCATTATAGAAGTGGGGACTATGAAGATACGTTAAAATAAAATACATGTTTGCATTAGACAGTTATCTTATGTCCTTTCTCTGTGGTGTTGATCAAAGTTATGTAGACTACTAAAATAAAATCAGTTCTTGAA